GAGAGAGAGAGAGAGAGAGAGAGAGAGAGAGAGAGAGAGAGAGAGAGAAAGGGGTAGGGTAATTGTAGAAGCGGGTTCCACTTACTACTAACTTAGTTTGATGAATGATATCATGTTGGCACAGACTTGTTTAACTTTTAGGATTAATTCTACTTTCTCTGAATGCATCTATCTAGAATGAAGACAAGTGTTTCCTTTGTACAAGAATTGTTTTGACAGACAGCCACAGAAGATAGAGAAATCTATCAGTATGTTTGATTGGTACTTTTTACCACACAGAATTCCTATAACCAGGAAAATGTTGAAGGAAAAGGTGGGGGAGTTGTACATTTCATATTAAGATATAAAAATTAATGGCAGAAACATAAAAAAACTGGATCATATTAATATATAGAATGAAGAGAAAATATAAAGATCCCTCAACATTATAATCCTTATAAAAGACTAAGTCCTATTCAGTTCAGGTGACTTTAAATGGAGCTGATTTTTATGGTATACCATAGGCTGAGAGAAGAAATTGACAAGGTAACTGGCAAGAAACTAACGTCCTGGATCCAATAGATTTGCAAACTAAATATCTCAGCATATCTCCACCCTGAATGACAAGTAGCATTTAGAAAGTATCATCTAATTCTGAAGAATACATTAACAATTAACCATATATCTCATCTACCATCCTTTCTAGGAAAATTTATGTTCACTTACATTTTTTAAAAAAATTACTTCTCTATTTGTAATTCTAGCATAGTTAACATTTAAGTTATCTGCAATATTCTCATGTCTCTCTCCATTCTTAGAGGTCTAATTATAATCAGATTCACACTGGTGACACTTTTCCTTGAATTATTTTTATACTGTAAATATTTTCCTATATTTATAATAACATGAGAGAAAAATATTTTAAGAAATCATTTTGTTTAAAGATACTTATTCTCATCATGAAATACCGATTCAGATTCTGATGTATGGCAGAATCCATCCATCCATCCATCCATCCATCCATCCATCCATCCATCCTTTTCCTAAATTTATCTTCAGATTTCTTTGAACTTATTTTTTTTCCGAATTCTGTTTTCTACAATTCAAATTGTTTCTTATTGTTTTAGTGCATTTAAATTTTTCTTTACTTTTCCATTGTCTCTTTTCCCTCTTACTCAGTTTAAATTTGAGCTTGAGAAGAGAGAAAAAGAAAACAAACTCAAAGATTAGCAACTTCTTCAAAACAAAACTTTATGTTATTTGTGGCATATAAAGAGATGTAAATTGCAGTTTCCTTTTCAGAAAATTTGACACTTGAAGATACACTTCCCTTTAAGTTTTAATCCTTATCAAGCACTACTTTGATATGATATGACAAATTAGTTGATTGTAAGTGAATCTTATTTATCTTCCACTTTGGCTGTTAAAAATTACAAAGATCTTTCCTTTTTATGATGTGATGGAATTTAATAAGAACTGAAATATACATTAGTTTAGCTCTGTATGAAATCAATATAAACTAAGAAAATAAACAATAAGGAAATAAAAGACGAGTTCACGTATACGATTTGAACACAAACATACAAGTTGGTTTCAAGTCTTTTTCTATTTAATATAATGTTTGAGCTTATACTCACGAACGTATAAAGGGAACAACACAGCTAGAAAGTAACGCAAACATTTCTGATACAGTCCATACAGTCTGAGAAACTACATGTTACCCAATGAGTACATGTAGAACCTAAAAGTAATTCTCATTTTTTGTCAAGCAGTTACCTCTTGCACTGCAAAAGGCACCTGTGTAATTCACATGCCTGTTCTGCTGTTCAAGGATGATTGACATAAGCCTGTGCAGAAAGTTACATCTCATTAACCTCTTTCTTGAGTTTATATTCCCATATCTTCTGTTTCAGTATATCAGTGAAGGAAGTTTGTCATAATGCAGTAATACTTTCTTTCTTAACTTTCACTAAGATTTCTCTCTTTTTTTTTTAATTCCCTTTTCCCAATGTGGCCCATCCTTTTCACTTTTGATAACTGCAAGGGTTTTAGCTCTTTCCTAACAGTTTTGAAAGTTATGTTAAATATATAATGATGGCAAAGTGCTGGTCTACAATTATTTTTTACTTGTGCTATCTGATACAGTAATTCATGTGGACATGGTGATACAACATGACACTATTTCATTTTTTAGAAAAAAAACTAGCAATCATTTACCATATGCTCTGCTTTTATCTTAGATGTTCCTCTCCCTCATGAAACTAAATTGGCACCAAATATAATCCTCTTAGTTATTTAATATCCTATCTCAGAAGAAAGTTGAGGGGTATGTATCTTTTATGTTATATATAAGATTATCTTCAGATATTTATTCAAATCATGGTAGCAATAGGTTCTATCCCCATAAACATATATAAAAACATTGAGAACTCAGCTCTAGGTGAAGTCAAATTTCTGGAGAATGGAGACTCAATCAGAAAGAGCCCAATAGCAGTAGTCTGCCAGTACCATTATATCTTGCTAGCACACTGGGCTGAAAAGCGCCATTCTGTTCATCTGCTCTGGTCCAACTTCAAACATTTTTCCTAAGAAAGGTTGAGAGCTGATTGTTCCAGATCAAAGACATCATCATTTCAAGGAGAGCTATGTGCCTCCATTTCATCAGTATAGTTTCCAACTATTCCACATCAACTTCAAGGCAAGTTGAGCACGTTCAGAAGCTCTGGTTAGGTGGCAATGATGTATTTAAAAGATTATCACCAGTAAATGTCAGATTTCCTAAAGAAACTCAGATTAGTCTGACGGCTGATAGAGGAAATGACATGTGTGGGTATGCAATAAAGGCTAGAATCTGGTTGCCAACAGCAGGTTGAATAGAAACATTACAATTCATTACCGTGTTATTTCTTATAATGAAGAAATATTTTTTGTCAATTCATAATCTGCCTCATAAAAGTACAATTACTATATCTCCCAACACAACATTCTCCCTGTTTGCTTGACATTGGGGTCTGGGTTTTTCTTTCTCTCTCTCTCTCTCTCTCTCTCTCTCTCTCTCTCTCTCTCTCCTCTTTAAACTAAAAAGCTACCAGTCAATATAAGCCCATTTTCTCATTAAAAAAAAAAAGGATCTATGATACTTCTGATTTTACTTTAAGCAGTTAACCATTCCAAGGCCAGGGCCAGTGCCCCAAATATTCATCTAGTATTTTTCTCCTTTTTTTCACCAGTGTTATCTGTTGTCAAACACTATGAAACTTGCACAGGAATTCCAGATTTTCCAGATGAAAAGTTTATAGAATCCCGGCTTATTCTAATTCCCACCTCCTCTGTCCTCTGCTCTCCATAACCATTCCTCTCTAAACTTGTACCATTCATCAGCTACTTGGAGAAAAAGCAAAAGCAAAGCGCCAGACTGGAGCGAGGCACTCCAGGGTGGGTTAGCCCCTCAGGGCACCTGTGCCGCGTCACAGACCCTCAGAATGGAAAAGTCAAGTTCAAGCAGGTGCGTGCGCCCGGAAGCGCCCTAAAAGCCTCACCGCTAAGGACAGGACTCTCTCCCCAGTTTGACCCCAGAAAAGAGTTACGGAAACGAAAGGGCTTAAATCGGCGCTTTCGCCTCTCCACAGACCCCGAATGCAGCAGGTAAGGAAGTTAACCTAGGAGCTAAGTTGAGGGCGGGCACGCTTAACGCGGAGAACCTGGAGCTCGCAAAAGCTCGCAGTTGAGCGCCATCGCGGGGGGAAGTCTCTCTCTCTCTCTCTCTGAAATGCGAATTTTCATCCCAACATCTGCAGCGCTTAGGATGCGCCGGCAGAAGCGCACAGCCAAGTCCAAACGCTCCCGAAGGGGACTAAATCAGGACCGGGAAGTAGCCCAGGGGAAAAGCTGTGGGGGTGCGGAGGACTCTGGCACTTGGTTCAGAAACCCCGCACCGCACCTCTCACTTCCCACAGGGCCAGCGCACGGCGGCCACCCGGTCCTGGGGAACGGGGCTGCAAGGACTTAAGTTTCACACTCACTTATCTGCAAACATCGCCCAGCTGGGAAGCCGAGGAAGCCAGGGGAGGGCTGGGGGGGAGGTGTTCTCCTTACCTCTGTCGGCTCCCATGGTCAGCACCGTGGCGATCGGCAGTAATCCCGAGAGAGTGAGTAAGGCGAGGAGGAGCTCGGACATTGTGGTCGCCCGGTAAGGAAGCCTGCGCTGGAGACTGCTCCGCAGCACCCTCGGCCCGGCGGCGGCGGCGGCGGCGGCGGCGGCTTGGAGCCCCGAATCGAGCGGCGTCATTTACAAATGTCACTGGAAATTCTTCAGCTCAATGAGTCCAGCCAGTCCGCCTTCTCCTGCCTGGAGCAGGATGTGGAAGGCGCAGGGATGCGCGCGTGCGGGAGAGAGGAGGGAGAGCGTGTGTGAGCGCGAGCGAGCCGCCCGTGTGTCTTGACTTTTCAATGCAGGGTACGTCTGATCTTACATCACGCAAGAGGGGCAGTGAGAGATGCCAGCGGATGGGAATTCACTGATTAATCACCGAATCCACCACACACCCCTTCGTCGTCCACATAAATCACATCTATTACTTAGTGAGAGGCATTTAACACAACAGGAAAATACCACCGCGAACGGAGAGCGCCACAAATCACAATTATTTCAGTCTCCTTGAAGGGAAAGTAACTCGAAGCTGGTTCTGTAGGATTTGGGTCTTTGGAGAAGGGGGAGGTTCTGCATTGGGCTGAGCCGGCCAGCCGCCCAGAACGCTCCGCCGTTCGCAGCCAGCTGGGAACCCTCAGCCGGGCACCGGGCTGCTCTGCAGGCAAAGCGGGCTGATCGCTGCGCTCCTCGGAAGCTTCCTTTCCGGGAAGGAAGGACAAGCCAAGGAACGGAGCTTCTCTTAGGGAAATGGTTCCCTCCGCTCTACACAGAATCCCAGTGCTTCCTGCAGGGCACTTTTAACTTTTATGCTGAGCAGCACCTGGGGACAAAGAGGCAAAATTTAGTGATTCAGCAGCAATAAAAAGCAAAACAACCCCAAAAGTCATTAACCGTTGCGTAAGAAGGGAAGGTTAATGGAAAAGGCTATTGAGGTCCCCAGGCAGGGAACAACAAAGCAAGCAATTGGCAGCGTTTTGCTGTGGGGTTCTGCCTTAAAGAGGATATTTCGAGCCGTTTTAAATAGGCTTTGAGGGCTTTGATGTTTTTGTTTTGTGTTTTGTTTTGTTTCGTTCTTCCATATGCTACAGTGGCGGTGTAAGAACTTTCCCGAGCCATCGGAGGCATCAACGTGAATCATTGAAATAATAATATTAGTAAAGTTGTTTTTATGACCACTTAAGTTTTCAACATGATCATCCCAGTTCCTAAAATTTTAATTTGCCATTCCAAGGTGGTTACGGGAATTTAAATTCAGAAATCTTAATAGTTGAAGGCTTACTGCCTTCCTTGTAACATCAGCAATTTCTCGTTTAAGAACAAGAGTTGAAAAGGTTTTGTATTTAATATTTTGAAACCGGAGTTGAGTGGAGGGGAAAACTATGAGAAGGGAAAAGAACCAAGGAAGACAACGATTGAAAAGTGAAGGAAGGTACTTTAAAGACTTTACTTACTTTGCTGTTTGTGACTTATAGGTGAATGCCAGCATTACGATCTAGGTATTTATAAGGGTAAAATTATCCAGAAGCATCTTTGAATGCTCCTTTGAAACCATTAAAACTAGACTGGATCAAAGAACACACAGGTGATCCTGCAGAACATTGCCAATAATCTGTAAATTACACCTTTTTATACTTACTTTGTGATTATAAACGTATTTTATGTCACTTTTTCATATTTTAAATTATAAAGTTTACTTTCCCTTGAAAAACAGCCATTTAGTGTTTAAAATAGGACTCCTTCTACATTCAAAAGTGTTTCTTTTCTTGTAAACTTGTTACATGTCAAATTTCTCCTAGATGTTTTTATTATTTCATAATGAAGTGCACGATATAGAATAAAGGTTGTTTTTTTTTTTACATATTTTACTTCATACTGAAAATTCACAAACTTTGAAATTAGTGGCAGAGTGTAAAGACTGTGTGTGTGTGTGTGTGTGTGTGTGTGTGTGTGTGTGTGAGAGAGAGAGAGAGAGAGAGAGAGAGAGAGAGAGAGATTTGAATGATGTTCCATGTAATAAATGTTTCTTTCTCCAGGGTCCACAGACCTGTGTATTGTATGACATACTTAATCACTGGAATAATGTAGTGGGTGTCTTTCTTACATGATCCCATTCAGTCAACTAGAAGGTCAGCTATTAGGAGATCTGTATCCATTTAACTCTTGGCAAGAAAATGAGGATTGCTCACAAACCATGCTAAGGACCTCCAGATTCTTCCTCTTCTGAAAGATTACCACCAATTGCCCTCCACTTCAAAAACTGCCAGTTAAAGGAAAGCAGCCTGGAACAGTATGACCCACCAAAGACTCTTACGACATACTAAAGTGCCCCAATACTATGATTAAAATCACTGACTCATCCACTTCTGCAGTATGCGCAGCAGCCCTAGATTCCGTGGCCAGCTTAGAAAAGGGAAAAGCTAGGAAAGATCACCAAAGTAGTAAATGCTCAGAATATTTTGTATTCTGAATATACTATATTCCAAATATATAGAACCTCCTAATAGCCTGTTAAATGAATTAAATAGAGTAAAAACCATATGATCTCCTTCAGATCATCTGGTTGACTTTTTTTACTTCATTGAATGGGGAAAAAAAAAAATCAAGAAGGCATTGTCTGCACATTGTGACCAGTATAATAAAGCAATATAGAATTCTTTAGTAATCATCAATTAAGTCCGTAATCATGAATGACATAGGACTCAAAACAGTTACTATAAAATAGTGATAGTAAATATGGAAGATTGTTACTAAAGTATAGGCTGGAGCATCA